CACCTCGGCCGTCAATGAGACGGCGGTTGTAACCCACAGGACTGAAGTCGTGTGTGTGTGTGTGTGTGTGTGTGTGTCTCACCTCGGCCGTCAATGAGACGGCGGTTGTAACCCACAGGACTGAAGTCGTGTGTGTGTGTGTGTGTGTGTGTGTCTCACCTCGGCCGTCAATGAGACGGCGGTTGTAACCCACAGGACTGAAGTCGTGTGTGTGTGTGTGTGTGTGTGTGTGTGTGTCTCACCTCGGCCGTCAATGAGACGGCGGTTGTAACCCATGTGTCTCACCTCGGCCGTCAATGAGACGGCGGTTGTAACCCACAGGACTGAAGTCGTGTGTGTTTGTGTGTGTGTGTGTGTGTGTGTGTGTGTCTCACCTCGGCCGTCAATGAGACGGCGGTTGTAACCCACAGGACTGAAGTCGTGTGTGTGTGTGTGTGTGTGTGTGTGTGTGTGTCTCACCTCGGCCGTCAATGAGACGGCGGTTGTAACCCACAGGACTGAAGTCGTGTGTGTGTGTGTGTGTGTGTGTCTCACCTCGGCCGTCAATGAGACGGCGGTTGTAACCCACAGGACTGAAGTCGTGTGTGTGTGTGTGTGTGTGTGTGTGTGTGTGTGTCTCACCTCGGCCGTCAATGAGACGGCGGTTGTAACCCACAGGACTGAAGTCGTGTGTGTGTGTGTGTGTGTGTGTGTGTGTGTGTGTGTGTGTGTGTGTGTGTGTGTGTGTGTGTGTGTCTCACCTCGGCCGTCAATGAGACGGCGGTTGTAACCCACAGGACTGAAGTCGTGTGTGTGTGTGTGTGTGTGTGTGTGTGTGTCTCACCTCGGCCGTCAATGAGACGGCGGTTGTAACCCACAGGACTGAAGTCGTGTGTGTGTGTGTGTGTGTGTGTGTGTGTGTGTGTCTCACCTCGGCCGTCAATGAGACGGCGGTTGTAACCCACAGGACTGAAGTCGTGTGTGTGTGTGTGTGTGTGTGTGTCTCACCTCGGCCGTCAATGAGACGGCGGTTGTAACCCACAGGACTGAAGTCGTGTGTGTGTGTGTGTGTGTGTGTGTGTGTGTGTCTCACCTCGGCCGTCAATGAGACGGCGGTTGTAACCCACAGGACTGAAGTCGTGTGTGTGTGTGTGTGTGTGTGTGTGTCTCACCTCGGCCGTCAATGAGACGGCGGTTGTAACCCACAGGACTGAAGTCGTGTGTGTGTGTGTGTGTGTGTGTGTCTCACCTCGGCCGTCAATGAGACGGCGGTTGTAACCCACAGGACTGAAGTCGTGTGTGTGTGTGTGTGTGTGTGTGTGTGTGTGTCTCACCTCGGCCGTCAATGAGACGGCGGTTGTAACCCACAGGACTGAAGTCGTGTGTGTGTGTGTGTGTGTGTGTGTGTCTCACCTCGGCCGTCAATGAGACGGCGGTTGTAACCCACAGGACTGAAGTCGTGTGTGTGTGTGTGTGTGTGTGTGTGTCTCACCTCGGCCGTCAATGAGACGGCGGTTGTAACCCACAGGACTGAAGTCGTGTGTGTGTGTGTGTGTGTGTGTGTGTCTCACCTCGGCCGTCAATGAGACGGCGGTTGTAACCCACAGGACTGAAGTCGTGTGTGTGTGTGTGTGTGTGTGTGTCTCACCTCGGCCGTCAATGAGACGGCGGTTGTAACCCACAGGACTGAAGTCGTGTGTGTGTGTGTGTGTGTGTGTGTGTCTCACCTCGGCCGTCAATGAGACGGCGGTTGTAACCCACAGGACTGAAGTCGTGTGTGTGTGTGTGTGTGTGTGTGTGTCTCACCTCGGCCGTCAATGAGACGGCGGTTGTAACCCACAGGACTGAAGTACTCGAACACGAAGACAGCGATGGCCGACACCAGCAGGAGCATCACGAACATCATGATCCACACGTCAGCACTGAAGGGCTCTGGGGACGAGAACACACACACACACACACACACAGACGTCACACATACACACCAGCAGAGACACACACACACGTCACACACATGTGACAGACATGTGATGTGTGTGTGTGTGTGTGTGTGTGTGTGAGTCTCACCGAGGAACGCTGACGGAGACACAGTGCCGTTGCTCCTCGACACCATGACACTGATGCCCGTCTCGATGAACGGCACGGAGAAATCGATGACCTCTGACCTCTCCTCGTTGATGGTCAGCGAACCGACAGCCATGTGAGCGTTCTTCAGCACCACCTAAACACACACACACACACACACACACTACAATTCAGAAATGTGTGTCTTAACATTAGTACACTTATGTAGCTTTTCAATTATGATTGGTGTAGAGAAGTGATATAAATGCATGTACTGGACTGAACTCATGCAGACATCAAATAACATTAATGACAGCAGGGTTATTAAAGAGGAACTATTATACCCCACTTTATAGATCTAATATACGTCTCACTGTCCCCAGAATGTGTGTGTGAGTTTCAGCTCAGAATTGCCCACAGATCAGTTATTATAGCATGTTGTATATGGCCATTATTGAGTGGAAGGAAAAACACGCTGTTTCCGAGCATGTCTCTTTAAATGCAAATGAGCTGCTGCTCCGCCCCCTATCCAGAAGAGGGCGGAGCCTGTTTGAATTGATTATCATCTCTATCGCTCTCACCGAACGAGACATTGCAGTTCTTCATCATGAAAGTTTATTATCTGCATTCTTTTAAAGCCATACCAGTCTAAACTTCTGAAATGTGGTTTCCTGAGCGCACACACACCGAATCACACACACAGAGAGCTGGATGTCAGACGGAGTGTCCTGTGAGTGTTAGACTAAGTTCTCTTTCACGTCTTATTGAGCTTAAACTGTCAAATACACACAAGGTTATGTTGAAAACACAAAGTTCAGATAAACACAGTCGGTTATGTGTGTGTGCAGGGAAAGAAATCGCATGTGAATATTAGATCTGCGTATTAAAGCGACAGCAGTGTAATATACCTACTGCTATATATGCTGTTAATATGAATCAAACAACTAAAGAAAAACAGAAAATCACTCACTCTTGACTGAATAACTTTAGTAGCTTTAATAAGAATACATTTCTTACTTGAATACTGCTCTTAAACGCTCTGGTGATGAGATAAAAATGGCGGACTGTGTGCAGCTCACTGTGGGCGGGGCTATCTAATAGGGCGGAGTCCGTCAGCAGTTGTGGGCGGGGCTTATGCGAACAGGGCGGAGTCCGTCAGCAGTCGTGGGCGGGGGTATATGTGAATAGGGCGGAGTCTGTCAGCAGTTGTGGGCGGGGTATATGCGAACAGGGCGGAGTCCGTCAGCAGTCGTGGGCGGGGTATATGCGAATAGGGCGGAGTCTGTCAGCAGTTGTGGGCGGGGTATATGTGAATAGGGTGGAGTCTGTCAGCAGTCGTGGGCGGGGTATATGTGAATAGGGTGGAGTCCGTCAGCAGTTGTGGGCGGGGTATATGTGAATAGGGTGGAGTCCGTCAGCAGTCGTGGGTGGGGTCTGTGTGAATAGGGCGGAGTCCGTCAGCAGTCGTGGGTGGGGTCTGTGTGAATAGGGTGGAGTCCGTCAGCAGTCAAGGGCGGGGTCTATGTGAATAGGGCGGAGTCCGTCAGCAGTCATGGGCGGGGTCTGTGTGAATAGGGTGGAGTCCGTCAGCAGCCATGGGCGGGGTCTATGTGAATAGGGCGGAGTCCGTCAGCAGTCGTGGGTGGGGTCTGTGCTGATAGGGCGGAGTCCGTCAGCAGTCGTGGGTGGGGTCTGTGTGAATAGGGCGGAGTCCGTCAGCAGTCGTGGGTGGGGTCTGTGCTAATAGGGCGGAGTCCGTCAGCAGTCGTGGGCGGGGTCTATGTGAATAGGGTGGAGTCCGTCAGCAGTCATGGGCGGGGTCTATGTGAATAGGGCGGAGTCCGTCAGCAGTCATGGGCGGGGTCTGTGTGAATAGGGCGGAGTCCGTCAGCAGTCATGGGCGGGGTCTATGTGAATAGGGCGGAGTCCGTCAGCAGTCATGGGCGGGGTCTGTGTCAATAGGGTGGAGTCCGTCAGCAGTCATGGGCGGGGTCTGTGTGAATAGGGTGGAGTCCGTCAGCAGTTGTGGGCGGGGTATATGTGAATAGGGCGGAGTCCGTCAGCAGTCGTGGGTGGGGTCTGTGTGAATAGGGCGGAGTCCGTCAGCAGTCGTGGGTGGGGTCTGTGTGAATAGGGTGGAGTCCGTCAGCAGTCATGGGCGGGGTCTATGTGAATAGGGCGGAGTCCGTCAGCAGTCATGGGCGGGGTCTGTGTGAATAGGGCGGAGTCCGTCAGCAGCCATGGGCGGGGTCTATGTGAATAGGGCGGAGTCCGTCAGCAGTCGTGGGTGGGGTCTGTGCTAATAGGGCGGAGTCCGTCAGCAGTCGTGGGTGGGGTCTGTGCTAATAGGGCGGAGTCCGTCAGCAGTCGTGGGTGGGGTCTGTGCTAATAGGGCGGAGTCCGTCAGCAGTCGTGGGCGGGGTCTGTGTGAATAGGGCGGAGTCCGTCAGCAGTCGTGGGCGGGGTCTGTGTGAATAGGGCGGAGTCCGTCAGCAGTCGTGGGCGGGGTCTGTGTGAATAGGGCGGAGTCCGTCAGCAGTCGTGGGCGAGGTCTGTGTGAATAGGGCGGAGTCCGTCAGCAGTCATGGGCGGGGTCTGTGTGAATAGGGCGGAGTCCGTCAGCAGTCATGGGCGGGGTCTGTGTGAATAGGGCGGAGTCCGTCAGCAGTCGTGGGCGGGGTCTGTGTGAATAGGGCGGAGTCCGTCAGCAGTCGTGGGTGGGGTCTGTGTGAATAGGGCGGAGTCCGTCAGCAGTCATGGGCGGGGTCTGTGTGAATAGGGCGGAGTCCGTCAGCAGTCGTGGGCGGGGTCTGTGTGAATAGGGTGGAGTCCGTCAGCAGCCGTGGGCGGGGTCTGTGTGAATAGGGCGGAGTCCGTCAGCAGTCGTGGGTGGGGTCTGTGTGAATAGGGTGGAGTCCGTCAGCAGTCGTGGGTGGGGTCTGTGTGAATAGGGTGGA